CAGTGTGGAGTCCGCTTGGGATTCTCTCTCTCTCTCTCTCTCTCTCTCTCTCTCTCTCTCTCTCTCTCTCTCTCTCTCTCTCTCTCTCTCTCTCTCTCTCTCTCTCTCTCCCTCCCTCTCCCTCTCTCTCTCTCTCTCTCTCTCTCTCTCTCTCTCCCCCCTCTGTGCCCCTCCCCCACTCATGCTTTCTCTCTCTCTCAAAATAAATAAATAAACTAAAAAAAAAAAGAGGTGAACAAGAAGATATTTCAAGAGAAGGTAAAATAAGAGCAAAGGGACTCAAAAGTAAAGAATTAACCAACACATTCAGGAACGGAGAAGAGTGACTGGGAAGGGTAGTCATGGCTTACAGTGGGATGTTGAAAGAGGAGAGAGAGCGCTGTCCAACAAGCAGAAAAGAATCTTGAGAAGCACACATAGTATCTCTAGAAGCAACAATCGCCTCACTAGGATATTTCCCTCGGTTAGAACTCCACACCAAATCAAAGGCATTCTGGTGAGAACTAGCAAGAACACACACCTTTTTCTCAAATTGTACTTTGTCTTGATTGCTAGTTAGCAAGCACAACTGGGCTGCCACAAAAGAGGGGGAGGCCTACTCCCTCATGTCTAACGCCAACAACCAATTGTTCCCAGTCTCTCTCCTTCATTCTCCAAAGGAAGGGCCAATCTCAGCATATGCCATCTCCACTGACCTTTTACCATTTCCCTCTGGATACCTACACATCCTGTACATCTGTCCCCAAATGCTACCATGCCAGGTACTCCACAGGATACCAGGCACCCCTCATTTCAAGCAATGTGATTGATTCATGGCAGACAACACGACTGGAGATAAACCTTCTCATAAGCCATTAAACGAATCAATGACAAAACTCGTATTTACACTAAGTGATGTCACAAAACAGCAGGCTTCCTAAGTTACACACTTTTGTCAACCTTAGTCCCCATGCATTAGGTACCTCAAAGCCTACAAAATTAACACAAGGTACCCTGAGAGATCAGGGAATTCACGTAAAGGTCCCCAGCCAAAATGTGATGGATAAGGATTTGAACCGAGGTCCTCTGACTTCAAGTCTCATGCTGTTTTCTATGACTTCGTTGAGGAAAGCTGAATTCTATTTGGGAAGGCAAAACTAACAGACACAAAATCAAAAGCCAAGCTGTAGGTTTATAAGTTCAATACAAGGGATAGATCCTCATGGGCTGGAGGATTTGAAAGAAAGTGTTTTTGGAAAACTTTGGTCATGTGAGGTCTACAGGAAAGTCCAATAAGTAAAACAGACATATGTGGAACTGCTCTGATGAGCTAGGGTAGGATCCCAGACTGCCTTTCCCAGGCTCTGCAAGGAGTTCTCCTCCCTGGCTCCTCAGCAGTCCTGGGGTTCTGCTGAGCAGTTGGGAAACAACTGGGCTAAAGAGGTAGAATGTAGTCCCTGGACCAGCAGCCTGGTAACTTCTTCAAAACGTGAATTCTCTGACCCCACCCAAGCCTTACTGAATCAGAAATTTAGCAGGCTGCATTTCAGCATGCTGTCTGGGTAACTTGATCCCCATCAAGTTTGAGAACCAGTGGGCTACTTCATCTCCATAAAATAGGAGGAGAGACCACCCACATTTGAGGTTGGGGTTGCGGACTTTGAAGGGAGTTGGGAACTGCCGCTGACAGGCCTTCTGCGAGACATCAGCAGAGATGGATGAGTGGGGTGAGCAGGAGAGAAGTCCTCACCAAGGTTAGGAGGTGCCAATATTCACTCCCCAGTATTTGTGTCTATCCCCTGACCTCCTCTGGCCATGTCTCACAATAGGACAGAAAAGAGAGGGCATTTGTGGTGACCTGGCACTCTGGGTAGAAAGTTTAAGGAAACAAGGGGTCCAGGAGGCTGCACAGAAGCTGGCCATGAAAGGACTAGACTTGAAGAACTAGATCTGAGTGAAGGTAGCCGGCAGGCTCAGTGGGTGTGGGGCATGGGAGAGGTGGGGGCACTGAGTAAGGGCACTGGGGTGGAGAAGTTCTGTGTTTGAGGTCTCAGTGCTGAAACAATCCGAAGTTATATCGAAGCCCAAGATTTGGGTATACTTGATACTTCACTGTTGAATGTATATTTCTAAATGGACACACTTGCATAGAAACAAGTTGTATATAATAAACAAAATAAAAGTATTTTTCTACATTTAAAAATATTTTAATTTCTATCTTTTTTTGTATGTTTTAGTTTTATCTTCATCCTTTCTGGAATCCTTTCTCCCTTTTGTGTGTATTTTTTCCTTTTTTGTATATTTCTGTGGTAAAATATACTTGGTGTAAAATTAACCATTTGTAAGTGTCTGGTTCAGTAATACCTTATTTTTTAGTGCTAAAAGTGGTATTCCTTTATGAAATAAGAATAAAAACAGGCTGTAGTTGGTGGGCAGGGAGCTGTTTTTACTTGAAAAATGTAAAAGTTGGTATTTTATTTTGGGTTCCTAACTTTGTTTTGAAATGCTACTGGATTGGGAAATTCAGACATCTCTGAACCACTGCCTTAAAGGAGAGTTAGGGTTTAGAGGAAGAGAGTTCAAGGTATTTGAAAGAAGCCAGAATAAAGCCACAGAGAGAAAAATGTGCAGGGCAGTTTTGGAGGTGGGGGTGGAGGGGAGGAGGGTGTAGACCAGACGTGCTAAAATAAAGTGTCTTTGAAAAGGAGTAGTTCGAATGAAGTTTGGGTCCATTTTCAAATATTTAGTGCCTGGCGATGTTCCGCTTATTGTGGCAACTCAATAAATTGTTTATTGAGTGCAGTGAAAGTTCGAGTCAGATTAGGAAGAGTGAGAAAATAAAATCTGAACTTCATTTATAAACCAGCATTTCCCAGCAGAGGTTCCTAGAATGTGTAACCTACTGATCTTCTCCACCTTCAAGGGCACCAGCCAGGACCCAGAACACGTGGTCAGCTCCAGCCTAGGTGTATTAAAACATGCTGTTTGTATATAACAGCTGGAGAAGATGGGAAGCAATGGGGAGCCACTGAAGATGACTAAGCAGTGGAGATATAAGATGACAGCAGTATTTCCAGGAACACTATTAGCCTGGTGGTAGTGCACGGTGGAGCCCAGGCTGGAAGCTAGAATCATTGGGAAGAAGAGCTCCAAGATATATAGGACTGACTCTACCGCAGCTCCATGGGTGAGCCTTGACTGGCTTAAAGAAATCAACATTTCTGTTCCCCAGGCCACAGAGATTGGTCTGGGGAAGGGCATATAACCCAATTAGACAGATGATAGATAGATAGATAGATAGATAGATAGATAGATAGATAGATAGATGACCTCCTAAGAAAAAAGATTCTCACATTTCTGTCTGGAGTTGACATGGGAAGCAAGCATGTAGTCCGAAGGGGTTGGTTGGCAAGCATCTTTGGATCATGAGGGGAGAGACTATGTGAGAATAGAAGTGGTGGAACAATGGTGAAAGAGAAATGGGTTCCAGGTCCTAACGGTGAAAGGGAAATGGGGTCCAGGTCCTAGCACCAAAGCCACCAATGAAGACTTCTCCAAAGCCTACTCTACCCCTGGACTCTGAAGTTACTGCTAAAATTCTTATTTCTATGCAAGCCAGTTTGGGTCTTGTTTTCTTTCGCTTGAACTGAAAGACTACTGACGCACAAGGCTGAAGTGATCCTCAGCATAAGAGAGAAGAAAGGGGTCATTCGCAGTGATCTAGCACTCTGGAAAGTAGCTATTCGAAGACATGACAAGAGGGTTCTAGGAGGCTCCCGAAGAGACCGGCCATGAAGGGACAGAGGTGGAATGGGGACATAAAGAGAGGGCTGGCTCTAGGGTGCCTGGGTGGCTCAGTTGGTGAAGCATTGGACTTTGGTTCCGGTCATGATCTGATCTCACGGTTGGTGAGTTGGAGCCCAGCATCGGGCTCTCTGCTGTCAGTGCAGAGCCCACTTCAGATCTTCCATTCCCTCCTCTCTCTCTCTCTCTCTCAAAGATAAATAAGCAAAAAAAAAAA